GGGTCTCTTCGCTGCACTACTGCAAGGAATATGAGCTGTCTCTTATACACATCTAGATGTGTATAAGAGACAGCTCTGATATTGTCTTCTTCTCTCTCTCTGCCTACGGTTTACCGGGCAGTTCTGTTTGTGACGATATATATATCTTAATCTTGAAAGTAAGCTATATTCTCCTCTCATCTATCTCATCTTCTTGCCAGTACACATCTATCTCATCCTCTCGTTAGTCTATGTATATAGTACAGGGGAACACCAACCAACCCGGATCTCTCCCTAGCCGTCGGGGTAGGTTGGCACCACAGCAGTGGTGCAAGAGCAAGGCTGTACCAGTCCCTCATGAGGGATGGACAGGCATTGTCGAGGGGGGAAATCGGTGGTGCTAGCGCCCAGCAATGAGCATTGTCGATGGGGGAAATCGGTGGTGCTAGCGCCCAGTAATGGTCAGTCACTGCACCTCCCCCTACCCCCCTTCCCCCCCCCCCCCCCCTCCCCCTCTCTCCACCAAGAATTACCGGGGGCCGGTCACTTCGAGGATGATATCTCCGTCGCCGGTTTTTAATAAAAAAGAAAGGGAAAAAAGGAAAAAAAGGCCCCTTGAGGAGTGATGCTGCGCATCCTGGTGAAACACATCGGGAGCCGAACCAAGTCCTACTTAACCGCGGCTCTCATGTCTGATCCTACCTGTAGATTGCGGAGATCGAAGGTGAGGATGAAGAATGTCGGCAGTTGTTTTTTTCTCGATTATGCGTGTCATCCTTGCGCAGGGGCCATGCTATTCTTCTCTGTATCGTTCCAATTTTAACGGATGTTCCGAAGGACGCAGTTGGGAGTTGGCTCCGGGGAATGTGCACACGCGCGCGCACACGAGTTTTGAGAGGTGGTGAAAAGCAAGATTCACAAACAAAAAAAAAAAAAACAAGCACCACTGTCCTTCGGTGGAACATCCGTTAAAATTGAGACGATACAGAGAAAGAAGATTAGCATGGCGGCCACTGCTCAAGGATCACACATGAATCCAGAAATGGTTTTTCAAAAAAAAAAAAAAAAAAAAAAAAAAAAAAAAAAAACTGGACGATGCGGCACACACTATTCATTTGAGGATGCCTTCCCGCGCTAGCCTTTGTCATCTGCAGAAGAAGAGATCTCCGATCAACTCTCCATCGCTTGTTTCCATTCCCTTCTTCATCTTCCTCCTCCTTTTTCCCTTGCCTCTCTTTATCTTCCTCCTCCGCCTTGCCCCTTCTTCCTTCATCCTCTTCTTCCTCTTTCCGCACTTTATCGTCGTCCTCGGTCTCGGCTCGTCCTCCTGCCCTCCCTCCTCCCACTCTTCATCTTCTTCCTTGTCGTCCTTTCCCTCCCTCCCTCCGACTCTACATCTTCTTCCTTGTCGTTGTTCCTTCTCGTCCTTTCGGTCTTTGGTGATGGCCTTCAAGACCGTCATAGTCCGCTTAGAAATCACAGGAAGCAGGAGAGAAAGGAGGAGGAGAAGGAGTAGGAGAAGTGAAAGGAGGAGGAGGAGGAGGAGGAGGAGGAGGAGGGGAGGAGAAAGCATTCCGCAACGGGGCGGAATACTGGGACAAGAAGGTTGGGGATAAGATGAAAGGGCGATGGTGGAAGTGAGTCGGATGGGCAGGAGAGGTGGGGGGGGGGAAGTAGTAGAAGGGCAAGCAAGCCAGAGGAGAAGAGGGAGATCTAGAAGGCACTCGAAGCGGTGACGAAAGGTCTTTTTTTTTTTTCATAATTTTTTTTATTATATTTGTTTAAAAATGTTTAGGTCTTTTCGATTTTGATTTTGGTTAACGGTCAGAAATAGCAGTTCAAATCCTTGATAGGTCGAAATGAGCCCAGTCAGAGAGTGCACACCTACTCGACCTCGCACTACACCTCCTCGACCTCTGCACACCCAGGTGCAAGCATGTGGTCTTCTTTACGTCTGCACGTCCAGGTTCATTCCGAGCAGCCTAGTTCTGCATTTGAAACCTATCCTATGTACCTTTCTTCACTTTCATTTCTTGACATATTAGAGATCCGGTGATGCGAAGGAGGGTGTGGAGGGGTGTGAAAGATTGTTGGGG